GGTGTTGCGTTCTTTGAGCGCTTTTAATTCCCTGTCCATGGCTTCACGCCATTTCTCCCTATGCTCCCCCCCCAGAGCCTGCTGAATTGTGGCAGGCTCCTTAGGTTGCGCTGCTCCGTGGACGGCGGTGACGAGTCCAAGTATCTGTCGTCCGCTCTGTGTGTAGCGAGGGAGGGTTGTGTCCTCGGGATAGACTGCTTCGTCTCCCGCTTCTGGATCAGGTGTGAAATTGGGTCCTACGCGTTCTGCTTCGTCGGTGTTGACTCTTGCGGGTGTAACGTAACCATTGTCGGCGAAGTGGTAGTAGACTTCAGTGTTGATGCTTTCGCGAGGGTTTTCGTCGTCCATTGGTACGTCGACCGAGCAATAGGGAAGAGGTCCGGCTTCCTCCGAGGCTCTATCCACGTTTTGCTCATCCTAGTCAGCTTCGTCTGCTGCCGAAGCGAAGGCTCGGTCGCCAAGAAATCCGCCCGAGAGGTCCGGATTCCCTTCTTCCAAGTTGGCAAGGTACGTCGGGAGGGTGAGTCGTTCGTAGAAGATCACATCACGTGCTGCCACTGTTTCCTTTGTGTTGATGTCGAAGATTTTCCATGCATTGTAATGTTTCTCGATGCCCAGGTGTAGTCCCCACGGTGGGCGCTGGGAGAATCGGCCAGCCGAATACTCGTAACATTTTTGTGCTGCCCAATTTTCCTGTCCACAGCAGATGCGGTGATGCGTTGTTCGGGAGCGATGATGACGAGAGCAAGTTGTGCAGCATGACAGCGTGGTCCATCGCCTCGGGCCACTGGTGGTTGGGTAGCCGCATGCCACGTAGTATCTTGCGCATGGTGTTCTGGAGGGTTCTGTTCATTCTTTCTGCCACGCCTTGTTGTTGATGAGCGTAGGGAAGGGAGATGAGCCGCTTGATGCCTCTTTCTGCCAGGTAGTCCTTGAACCTCTGTGACTGATATTCCCCTCCCCCGTCTGACTGGAAGCTTTTCAGCTTCACTCCTGATTCTCGTTTTGCTGCTGGAAGCCAAGTGGCGAAAGTGTCGAGGGCCATGTCGCGACTCGGGAGGTTGAAATGCCAGACGTATCGTGTGGCGGCGTCGATGAACGTGATGACGTAGTTATATGCTCCTTGTTCAGGGTCGCGGTTGTACAGTATATCGCTGTACACTTTCTCCAGAGGTGCGTATGCTGGTGCGCTCGGATTGTGGTGAGAGATGAACGGTTGATGCGGTAAGTCGGCTTCAGGGCAGGTAAAGCACGTTCCGCGGACTCGCTGAAGTTCTTTGCCGGCTGTTAGAAGTAGAGAGTCTTTGTCAAGTACTCCAGCTCGAATCGTGTTGTTTAACGTTGTGTTACTTGGGTGTCCCAACCTTGCATGCCAGGTTGATTCGCTGGCGCGATGTCCGGGTGAACGTCTGTACAGGTCGGAGTTGGAGTAGAAACCTGCGATGAAGTTTGCGCTTCTGTGGACTTCCCGTGGAGTGGGAGTCAGCTGCTGCGCAGAAGTTGGTGGCACGTCGTCGATGAAGACCGGTGTTGTTGACGGGCCAGTGATTGGTGCCGGTGTTGTCACTGCTGCTGCTGATGTTGTCTCTGCTGCCGCCGATGTTGTCTCTGCTGCTGCCGATGTTGTCTCTGCTGCTGCCGATGTTGTCACTGCTGCTGCCGATGTTGTCTCTGCTGCTGCCGATGTTGTCTCTGTTGCTGCCGATGTTGTCTCTGCTGCTGCCGATTGAATCGTTGCTAACGAACTCGTTCGTTCTGTTTCAGGTATGGTGTGTGAATACCAGAATCCTCCAGGACTGAAGTCAGGGTCGAGATCTGGCGGGTGTGTCCAGGAGGTGAAATTGACGATGGCGTCGCTGTCGGCGGTGCCTTGATCTGGAACGAAGTCAAGAACGAAGACGTTGTTCTTCAAGACCGCCTTGCTGATGTAGAGTCCACCTCTCCCGTGGTACAGTTTGAACTCCTGAGTGGTGTTGTCTGCTTCAAGATGAATGCCCTTCGCCATTAGTTGACTAACGCTGAGTAAGTTGTAGCCGAGTCCTTCTGCAATTAAGACTTTCCACATTTGCAGAATAACGTTAGTTTCTCGTGACTGAAGTTGAACTATCCCTTGTCGTCGTGTACGCAGGTTCTGGTTATTGGCGATGGTGATGACGACTTCGCGCTGCAGTTGGTGTTCCCGTTGAACGAAACGACCCGAGGAGCACATGTGATGTCCGCAGCAGTTGTCCAAGAACCAGGTGTCTTTCTCGGACGGCTCGCTCTGGGCGATGGCTGCGTACGTCGGGTTGGGCTCCAGTGATTCTCGGCAAGGGGTGCTTTCGTTGAGTTGTTCTTTTGGTGAGTAGTATGGTGGCGATCCGGTGATGCAGGAGTCTGTTGTTCTTGCCATGCAACTTACGATGTTTCTTGCGCCTTGTGCAGATTTTGTCGTTGATGTCGTTGAGGACTGTACTTGATTGGTGGGATGCGCTTGTGTAGAGGCTACTTGTCTGCTTGATGGTCGAAGTTGACGCTGCGACGGCGTTGACTGCTGCTGATTCAGACAGTGTGTGCGAGGGTGTCCTGACGTCTTGCAGAGATGGCAGAACGGTGGTACGTGCTGTTGAGCTTGATGTTTGTTCTGTCGATTGTTGTAGTTGTTGTAGCGCCGTTGAGTGTGGAACGCGAACTCTGGTGCTGACGCTGTCTTCTTGTGTCGTTCTTCGTGTAAGTCCATGTCCTGCTGTTCAGCGTGAATTTCGGCACAGAGTGCCGCTTCGGAGATCTTCCTGTGAGCTCAGAGGATAGCTCGAGTGGAGTGCCAATGAGGACCGAGATCAGTGATGACAACTGTCACGAAAGCTTCTTTGGATATTGATCCTCCGCATCGGAGGAGTCTGTCGCGCAGTCCGCGACAACGGCTGATATACGCCATCCCTTTTTCGCCGGGTTTCATTTCCACTGTTGTCAGCTGTGCCATGAGACGACTTTGGTTAACACTGTCTGTTTCTTGATACAAGTTCTTCAGGTGGTTGTACGCGAGCTCGGCGGAGTTGCCGTATCCACGATAAGACCAAAGTTCTGCTGCTCGTTCGGTGTGAGGTTGCGTAAGAGAATCGTATACGCCATTAGTGACTGATACGTATACTGTTGCTTGTCGTACTGCGTCCCATGTGTTGGATATGGCAGGGACCCGTCGAAGAATCCGAGAATCTGCACGCCTTCCATCATCAATTCGAACTCGAATGACCAGGTATAGAAGTCTTTGCCGTCGAATGGTCTTGATGTTTGCAGTTTTAAGACGTGCGCGAACTGCGATTGAACCTGAAGCGCGTCCAGTGTCTTTTCTTGTCCAAGCGAAGGCTGCTGATGCGGCATGAAGCTGATGGAGCCGCGTTGGGGCTCGTATGGAGCAAAGGTAGGTTGGCACTAGCTTCCGCGCGCGTAGGATGAGCCATCGAGACTCATTGGAGTGACGCCGTTGTTGTTGTCGCTGTTGTTTGACTGCGCAGGTGCTGCGTGCTGGTGCTGTTCGTAGAAGGACATGAAGGAGAAGAACTTCTCCATCATGATTGGGTCGAAGCCGGTCATTTGGTTTGCAGGAGTTTCTGTGGACTCAGCAGCTGGTCTTGTTGCCGTGCCTCCCTTTGTCTGTAGGCCAGAGGCTGGAGGTGGAGTAGGAGTAGTGCCGGGAGAGCCGTTAGAGGAGATTCTCTCCTTCTGTATTGCCATGTCTTCTGATGTTGGAGTTTAAACGAAGTGGAGTTTTACCTTGTCTGCTCCCATACCATGTTGGACTGAGAAAAGCCCTTAGGATCTTTCAAGGCTAAGACTCCGTCAGGAATGTTGTATTGCGGAAGCGTTTAATGATAAACTGTTGAACCAACTTGCGCTGGTGTGTGAGGGCAAGATAGGTAGATTGATTATAAAGAAGTAATTCAAGCTTTTATAAGATTACAAGGAATATGAAAGGGTGCAATAAACTGTTTTACTGTTGCTGTTGCGGTTCGATACAGTAACGACTCGGGCAACTGCTCAATACCGAGTCAGTTGTTTGTCCTTGCTGTCGCGCTGTATTTGTCGAGTCAAAGGTCGCTGACCTTTGATCTTCGCGTAACCTCCGGCTGTTACTTTTCTGTCAACCTCCTCAGTTGACTCGCCATTGCTGTGCTGTAGTTCGCCTCGTTTACAGTCTGATGTTACGACACATAAGAAGCGTTAATTACTTGTTTCCAACATATACGCGCTAACGCGGTACTGGTACAAGTGCGCTGCTTTGTTATGAAGCGGTGCGCTAAGGGAGAACCTTCGGGAATGTTATAATAACTCTTGGTATTCCTACACTAGCTAGCCATGTACTCTGAGGGGGTACATTCCTTTTTAACAGTATTACATGTACTGTATTGATTTAGTACCTGTGACTATTGCGATCCCTTTCAGTTGCGGTTGTACCTTGTTGAATCTCGTAACCTCCGAGACGGTTGCGACAGTCGAAGCATCTCACAACCTCTTGGTCCAGGTTGGTCAACAGTCGCGACTGTTGACTCACGTGCTCTATGTGAGCTAACGCGATAGTTGTACAGGTAATGCTTCTCTAGTGGCAGGTGCGGTAAGGTTACACCTTCTGGAATGCTAAACTACCTTACGGTTTTTCCAGCAACCCGCACCGCACCCTTCCATTTACAAGATAGCCTTAAACTTATTTTTTTTTCGAGCGTATGAGATAAGACATCCGTATATGTCTACTTTCTGGGCGCTGACGGTAGGAGCGTCCTCCCATCACTAGCCATTCAGGTGGCATGTGGTGATAGAAAAACATGGCTGTACAAGCAAAACATTGTACCATAATGTTCATATCTTACAGAGAACCAGAGAACCAGCAAAGACATCCAGTGCCGCACACCCTGCTCTTTTGTTGAACAAGCTCGTATACGAACCACCAACACCGGTATGTGGTTCGTCCATCCTTTGCTTATTGCTGGAATTATTTCACTCCAACAACCGGGTATGATGCTTGCTCACTTCCTGACAGGCTTGACTGCAATGGCGGACCGCACAAAGTGACCCTTCTCATCCACCCAAGTGAGGCTCCCATACTGAAAGTCTCTCGAGGCATTAGTAACCATGAACGTCACCACAAAGCGGACCTTCTTACCAGGCGAGATGGTGAATCTGCTAGGCTTGACAGTCACCTCCACCCCTTGAGGCTTCTCAATCTTGGCAGTGTAAGTGGAGGCAGAGTCAGCCACACTGGTGACGGTGCGTGTGACTGTGATCGTGCCTTTGAGGGGCGCCACTGAAATGGTGGGGCGGTTGAGATCTCTAGGCGGTACAGCAGTAAGCTTTTCTTTCGGGTACTCTGACCGGGTCCTCTTCATGTCCTGCCCTGCCAGGAAATTCAGATACGCCCTCTTCCGAGCATCATATGTCAGCCCGGGGTCGAGAACCTTAGGCGGGAACACATGCCCCGCGCCCATATCCCACGGCGTGGCGGCTTTCTTAGTGGCGGCACTAGAGATAGCAGCACCACTGACGTCCGTGGTGGTGGCGGTGGTCATGATTGCAGACATGACCTGTGCGGGGCTCCAAGAAGGGTACTTCTGCATCACCAGAGCAGCAATCCCCGCCAGGTGAGGAGTCGCCATGGACGTTCCAGAAAATTTATTGGACCCGCCCTTGTTGCCCACGCGGCTGCCTGGTGCTGCAGCGTAGAGACCCACGCCTGGGCCGAGAATGTCGGGCTTTAAGATGCAGTCGGTGGCATGGCCTTTGCCGGGCTCGTTAGGGTCTGAGAAGTCGAGGGGGCCCGTGGAGGAGAAATATGCGACGATTGGGGCGGAATCGTCCGCTGAGGGTGTGTCGGAGGGCGTGTCAGGGTCTGTGTCAGGGTCCGTGTCAGGGTCCGTGTCAGGGTCCGTGTCAGGGTCCGTGTCAGGGTCTGTGTCAGAGCCTCTCTCGGAGGGTGTGGCGGAGGGTGACGTCTGATTGGTGGATGATGGTGTAGCGGAGGGTGACGTCTGATTGGTGGATGATGGTGTAGTGGAGGGTGACGTCGGATTGGTGGATGATGGTGATTCGGATGCGCCTGCTGAGCTGGCGAGAGTCCTGCCGCCCCGGGCGATGGTGCTGTGCGAGGGGGCGGAGTGGGGGGTGGGGGGGAGGGAGATGCAGGGAGGTTGGGAGGTTCCAGCCTCTGTTCTTTCTAACTCAACTCAGAACGACACGAATTTGTGGCGATGGAGGTACGAGGAACAAGGGAACATGCTCTGTGAGGTACAATGAGTAGAAGGCTCCCCTCATGCTGATTCAGAGGCAGCTGCCTCACCTGGCGCCCACTGTGAGTCAAACAGGCCACCTGAGTCCTATGCGGGGGTAAATGCCTCACCTGGCGCCCACTGTGAGTCAAACAGGCCACCTGAGTCCTATGCGGGGGTAAATGCCTCACCTGGCGCCCACTGTGAGTCAAACAGGCCACCTGAGTCCTATGCGGGGGTAAATGCCTCACCTGGCGCCCACTGTGAGGTAGAATGGTGCGTAGTTGCTGAGCTTGCGGGAAGGGTCATGCGCAGAAGGGGGACCGTCGTTACCCGCAGCATAGGCCACAACTACTCCCGCCTGGGCATTGGGAAGAGAGGAGGACGGAGAGGAGAGGAGACGATTGGAGAGGAGAGGAGAGGAGAGGAGAGGAGAGGAGAGGAGAGGAGAGGAGAGGAGAGGAGAGAAGAGGAGAGGAGAGGAGAGGAGAGAAGAGGAGAGGAGCGGAGAGGAGGGGAGAGGAGAGGAGAGGAGAGGAGAGGAGAGGAAAGATAACCAGGAGTTGTGATGCTGGTATGCAGAACAGCGAGGGAGGGGAGCAAGGGGAAGAGCTGAGGGAAACTTCACAAATGCGAGAGAGCGAGTCCTAAGAAGGTGGCCGGCACAAAGGTGAAAGCGGCACATGGAAGAGCAGCATAGGGGAGGGAAGAAATCTCAACCGAGTGGCACTGGATTGGCGTTTCTCCAAGGTGAGAGAGCGAGTGATAAGAAGAGAGCGGCATACCAGGTTGGCGTTGAGGAAGGCGATGTCGTCAAAGTAGGTGTCGGTGGATTTCACGATGCCCAGGGAGAGCGACATCACATCCACGCCGTCCGCCACGCCCTGATTGACGGCTGCGATGACGTCCGCCTCCTCCGCGTGTAAATTCCAGCCAACCTTGTATATCACGAGGCGCGCAGCCGGCGCCATGCCGCTCGCCTTGCCGCCCGCCATGTCCACTCCACTGTTGCCCGCTGCCGCTCTGCGTGTGGGGGGAGATGTGTGGAGGGGAAGGGGGGAGGGGAGGGGGAACGCATGGGGGAGGGGATGCATTGGGGTACATGAGAGGAGGATACATGGGGTTAACGGTTGCGAACAAATAGAGAGACTTGAAGCACAAGGAGAGGAGTGTAGAGCTGTGGGCAGACGTCTGTAACATGCCAGCGAGTCGACTCACCCCGCACACCACGTGCCGTGACCGTCGGCGTCGCGGGGCGACAGCCAATCAGCGGACAGATCCAGCCCGCGGGCGCTTCTATACCCCTGGTAGAACGCACGCGCGCCAATGACCTTATTGTTGCACTTGAACTCCCCCGTCGCGTCGCACTTCCCCGACCACCCAGCAGGCCGCGACGAGGAGAATCCTTTGTCGCTGAACGACGGGTGCTCCGGCCAGATGCCCGTGTCGACGATCGCAATCACCGTGCCGTCGCCCGCCTTCTCCTGCCCGCCATTGGCGGGCCAGAGCGACCCGGTGGTGTTCATTCCGAGGAAGGTGGGCGAGTCGGTGGTGAGGAGGCGCTTGAGCACGCTCGGCCGGACGGACGCCACGGCGGGGTGGCGCTTCAGCCGCCGCAGCTGTCCTGGGGTGAGCATGGCTGAGAAGCCGTTGGATGTGTGCTTGTAGCTGCAGGGGGGGGGGGGTGGGAGAGGAGGAAAAGGGAACAGGAGGGTGGGGCGCTCTGTTGTGAGATTCGCAGCGAAGCCGTTGGAGGTGCTTGTAGCTGGTGGGGGGGGCTGGTGGGGGAGGGAAACAGCGGAAAGGGAAGATATTTGAGCTGACTCAGTATTTGGAAAACAGGAAGTAAAATTGGCATGCCGATTGAATGATTTGAGATTGTGAGCTGGGTTGATAGCGGTGCCTTTTTAGCTCGCATGCATCCCGTGGGGCTGGAATCCAGTAAGGAAGCTTCACGTTTGAATCTCACTCACGTATCCTATGGGCCAGACTCCTGCTTCTCAACTGTACGCCAGTGCTCTTGGGTGCATACGTGCGACCGCCAGAACTCAGTCCAAGGCTGAACCCCAATCTCCCTAAGGCTATATCGCGCTCGTTCGTTTCGCTCACTTCCGACAAGATTCTGTGACAGGCAGTGCGTGTCTCACCTGTGAACCACCTTGTTCCAAGCCACGCCCACTTCCGACGCGATCCGCGTCTGCTGCGACTCCAGCATCCGCGCATACGCCTTGATCTGCGGGTTCTTCAAGGAGAGTCGCGCGCGCCGCGGAATTCTGCCGACCGTTACCTTCACCGCTGCGGCCACCGCCTTCGCCGTCGCCATCAGACCTGCCGGGCGGGCAGCGCTGCTGTCGTTATTCTCGTCGTCATCATTGTCGTCCGCCCAGCCGCCGGGGAATTTGGCGACGGCTCCGCGATACGCGGCGAGGGGCAGCGCGGAGCGAAGGCGCACGATATAGGGACCGCTGCCGCCGCCACCGCCACCACTGTAGCCACCGCCACCGCTGCCACCACCGCTGCCGCCACTGCCGCTCGGCACATTACTACTCGGGCGGACAACTGTGGGCGGGGTGAAGGAACACGGATCGTACGAGGTCAGATAACGAATGATACTCCTGCGCTTACCTGTGCAGGGCGTCAAGATAGACAGCGGTTCAGTATGGTGATCTATGCGTCAAGCGTATGCGGCCCGCACTTACATCGGACAGAGAGGCATTGACACGTGGCAGCTAGGAGGAACAGGGCGAGGAGGAGGCGATGCGCGGTACTCATCGTGCCGCTGACCGTGATTCCGATTCCAATACCTTCCGAATCAGAAGGTATTCGCGACAAGTGGATATAGATATGCAAGCGGTAAGCAAGGACGAAGGTGCAAGCCGTAAATGTGAGTGGTATAATAATCTGAGCTCGCGCAGCATGCTCTGCAAAGTAAGTATCCGAGACTTATGGACGATTCTGGCGTGGGAAGCGGCGCGTAGGCTTGTAAATAGTACGGTACGCTGACATGCGGGATAACGAGCGGCTTAAAACCTGACTTACGAGCTGGGCGTTCCGTGCCGTCACTCCACCATGCGCCTCGAGAGACATCGTCGTGGGTAGGTGCTGGGGAGAAGTTGGGATACGCTATGGCCGCGTCACATGCGGCGATCGCTCGGTCCCATGCGACGCGTTTCAAGGCATCAACATGCCTTTTTCTGTGGGTTGGTTGCAAAGACGTGGCAGGGTACCCCAAGAATTGCAAGTCACTTAGGACGCGTCCCCTTCCCTCGATCGCCGGATCAAGGGGTTAAACCGCGCCTACACACCAATCACAGGCTCGACGCTCGTTCGGTGTGGAGAGAGGTTTTCAGCAAACCTCGGCTCCCCTCGACGGTGTCCCCGTCGTACTGTAACATCGATCCCCACAAACGGCGGGAACACGGTCGTGAGACCCCAATCACTGTACATTCGCATGACCCCAAAAGCGATCTCTGCAAGATGGATTGAGGGGACAGAATGCGCCCTGATTCGCGAGCTGAATCATTGGAGCCTCTGGAATTTCTTGCCAACATTGACGCGATCGAACTTGAAGAAGGTCGATTATTGACGGGGCTAGAAAGGGTTACGAGAGTTACGAATGAAATATACGTGATTTCAGTAAGGTGGGGGCTCGATTTGCACGACCAGTCAAGCAATTGGCAAGGGGTGTGACTCGTCACTTATTGAGTTGGCATTGGAACAAACAAATCTTAATTAATGTTGTAAGGAAAATCCCTTTTCCTTACTTCGCGTCCCTGCTCAGCGCGTACACCACTGTTCCCGCCAACAGCACCCAACGGTACACCGTTACCACTCGCCTCGACTACTGTTCCCGCCACTGTTCACGCCGCGACCCCACCTCACGGCTCGGTTGGTAACCCGCGCTCCGGACCTTCGCCTCGACAATCCCCAAACCTCGGCGCCAGGCCCGACGCGCACCCCAATTTCACACAGTACCGTTACCACTATAGCTTCGCTATATATTCTTCGCTCATGCCTTCGCTCATTGTACTGTTTTGCTTCGATAGTGCAATTCTCGCTCGCTCACTCAGTTGCACTCGTAATACTTGGTATTCAGAGCCTACGATCTCCTCTCGAACCGCACCCACACCTTCGCTTCCCCGCTATCTCAATTTTAGGGGGGGATAGACGTCTCTCAGCGAAACAAGCGCCGCCGCTCGAAGTGCTCTCTCGTAAGCACGCACGGCCACGACAGAGGCTCCCGCTGAGCTTGCCCGACACCCCTGCCGTGGTCGAATTCAACATCGCGACGTTGACACAGGAGCAGCTCGACCGTCTCGTGCGCCAACTGGAAAATTCGATGCTCGAGATTGCGGCGCTCACAGCAGAACGCGACTCCGCCCGCCAGCAATCGACAGCGAATGCACCCGCACCAGCACCTGCAAATGCACCTGCGCAATCGGATGAGCCGATTGTTATTTCTTCCGGCTCACCATCACAGAACGATAGTGTGGGACAGCGCTCGGGCGCAGCCAGTGATGGCGCCGCCCAGTCAATGTCTGGCATGGAGAGGAACAGGGCCGCACCAAGCACGAATGGGCCTCGCGAAGCCCGTCGTCACGTCGAATTTGCGACAACGGTCGGCAACGACGACATCGGCGCACCAATGCCACTCAAGCCGCAGCGCCCGCCCTGCTTCGATCCTAGCCAACGCGGAGGTCCGACGATTCAATCGTGGGTCTTCACGATGAACGTGTTTTTTTACGCCAATTATGTCACGTCGGACGCAGCGAAGGTCAGATACGCGGTTCCGCTGTTACGGGGCCCCGCCATGGATTGGTGGCGAGTCATTGTGACATCGCCACGCGCCTACGAGCTGTCGTCGCAAGAAGACAGGCCCGCGGGTCCAGCCGTCACCTGGAGTTCATTTTGCAAAACCGCCCAATACAGCACGTGGGATGCGTGGTGCGCAGGGCTTCGGGCGCGCTTCGAGCCGATCGCGGCTTCTATTTCGGCGTGTCAGAGACTGCGTACTTGGCGGCAGCTCGGGTCGGTTCAAGACTACACCAGCGGTTTTCTCGCTCTATGCGAGCAAGTCGGCTACATGCACGAGGCGGAGCGGGTGGACCGTTACGATGGAGGGCTGAAGCCGGACATTTCGCACGAGATTATTATACGCGGGCTATCAAACTTCAACAAAATTCTCGTGCTCGCGGAGAAAATCGACATCCTACGCCGACCGAGGGGTTCTACTACGAACAACGTCTTCGGGGACCGACCGAGCACAACACGGTACACGCCGTTGCCGCGAATGCAGCTGCCGCACCATTTAAGGGGCGCTGCTTTGCTTGCAATAGGCCGGGCCATCGCAAAAGCGAATGCCCAGAGGAGCTGAGGCGTCGCGGAGCAGAGCAGGGGAGGGAGTCTCAGAGGCAGGGAAACGCCAGCAATCATTAGAAACCAGGCCAACTACTGACGAGACAGTCTGCTCGCCCAACCTCACCGACCCTCACCGAGTCACAGTACCGATTCACGCTATCGATCGGGCTCGGATGAATAAGGAGGGTACAGCGACGGATTGCCTAGTACTGATTCATGGGAAAATACAGGGAGCAGAAGTGAAGAATTTCATAGACGGAGGAGCAGTCACAGTTTAGTTAATACCGCGACCGCACGGAAGCTGCAACTGACACTTAGTTGGTGTTTACCGGAGATAGATGCACGCTTAGTCGACGGTGTCAGAACATTATATAGCTTATGCTGTTGTGTAGGCTATAGTGGGGTATCCCATAGGGGGTACAACCCAATTAGGGTTTCCTATATGTACTCACTTCATTCATAGTTCATTCATCCTCGTTCTTCATTCTTCTCATGGTATCAGAGCAGGTTCCCTAGTGGGAACTGTTCCTAGGGCCCACCGTTTTTTTTCCTGCCCGGAGCGCACTCTGCCCCTACCCGAGTCGCGCTCCCCTCTCTCTTGGCCCCTAGTGGCCCCTTTAGCCGCCCGTCACGGCCCTTAGACGCCCGCGCGCCGCCCGTCCCGGCCCCTTAGACGCCCGCGCGCCGCCCGTCCCGGCCCCTAGACGCCCGTGCGCCACCCGGCCCGGCCCCTAGACGCCCGCGCGCCGCCCGTCCCGGCCCCTAGACGCCCGCGCGCCGCCCGTCCCGGCCCCTAGACGTCCGCGCGCCGCCCGTCCCGGCCCCTCGACGCCCGCGCGCCGCCCGTTCCGGCCCCTCGACGCCCGCGCGCCGCCCGTCCCGGCCCCTCGCCGCCCGTGAGCCGCCCGTCCCGGCCCCTAGACGCCCGCGCGCCGCCCGTCCCGGCCCCTAGACGCCCGCGCGCCGCCCGTCCCGGCCCCTCGACGCCCAAGCGCCGCCCGTCCCGGCCCCTAGACGCCCGCGCGCCACCCGGCCCGACCCCTAGACGCCCGCGCGCCGCCCGTCCCGGCCCCTCGACGCCCGCGCGCCGCCCGTCCCGGCCCCTCGACGCCCGCGCGCCGCCCGTCCCGGCCCCGCGCCGCCCGTGAGCCGCCCGTCCCGGCCGCGCACCGCAGTCCCGGCCCCACGCCGCCCGTGCGCCGCCCGTCCCAGCCGCGCGCCGCCGTCTCGGTCCCCACGCCGCCTGTGCCGCTGAGGAGCTGAGCCGCCCGAGCCGCCCGAGCCGCCCGCACCGCCCGAGCAGCCCGAGCCGTGCTGCCCCTCAGCAGCACAACCGAGCCGCCCGACAGCAGAGCAGCCGAGCCGCCCAGCAGCCGAGCCGCTCAACAGCCGAGCCGCCCAGCAGCCGAGTTGCCCAGCAGCCGTGCCGCCCAGCAGCGGAGCCGCCGAGCCGCCGAGCCGCCCAGCAGCCGAGCCGCCGAGCCGCCGCGCCGCCCTCCTTCCGGGCCGCCCGACCTGTCCAGTCTGGTGAGCACAGCGCCCTTTCACTGCACTGCCCTCACCCTACTGTTTGCGCTGCCAGTCGTCTAGGGTCATGGCTACCCCTAGTGTTCTAGTCTTTGACGCTGAGGGTCGGGCCATTGACTTTGAGGTCTGGGTGGATGACCTGCAGCTGTTCTTACAGTGCGATAGGGCAGATGGTCTCTCTCTCTTTGACCTCACCTCTGGCGCCTCCACTGCCCCTGCTGCTGACGCCGACGCCACTGTTCGCTCCCAGTGGGCCACGCGCGACGCTGCTGCACGTCTTGCTGTGCGTCGCCACCTCCCTACCTCCGAGAGTGCACACTTTAGTCAGTACAAGAGTGCTCAGACCTTGTACGACGCTGTAGTTGCGCGCTACTCCTCCCCTGCCACTGCTGCACTGAGCCGTCTCATGCTACCGTACCTCTTTCCTGACCTTGCTGCCTTTCCCACAGTCGCTGACCTCATTACGCACCTCCGCACTAGTGACACTCGCTACCGCACTGCACTCCCTCCTGACTTCTGCGCCAAGAACCCCCCCCCCATGTACATCACTCTTTACTACATAGTCACTCGCCTTCCTGACTCCCTTCGCGTAGTCAGGGACCACTTTCTCTCTGTCTGTCCCACCACTCTCACTGTTGACCTCCTCGAGAAGTCCCTCCTAGCGGCCGAGAAGA